CCATGGACCCAACACAAGGGCACAAGCTTGTTTGGGAGAGCGATAGTCATCAACAATGCAGTCTTGTCTACATTGTGGTATACACGTTCCCTTTTTCACCTTGACTCGGCGTCGTTACACATGATCAGACGCTTGATATCGCATTATCTATGGAAATAAGAGATGAGTGATAAAAACTTTTTGCCCAAGGTAGCTTGGAATACCGTCGTACAACCGAAACGAGCCGGAGGACTCTCGATTTTGGACCCTGATAGTCAGATAACTGCCCTGTTGGCAAGATGGGTCCCATGGGCGATCTTGGAATCACCGTATGCACCCTGGAGACAGTTGGCGGAATTTACTCTTGTTTTATTTTTGGATTGGTCTGATTTGCGATGTTTTTTGTTAGCATTTCTGAACCCGGAATATCTCAGAAAGCAAATCCCGTCGGGAGTATGGGCAGGAATCCTGAAGGCATGGAAAGTTGTCTGCCCCCGTCTGCAACAGCCTCACATGGTATTTGAGAGACTACTTACTCAGCCTTTGTTTGGCAACCCGTGGATACTGACAGTCCAAGGCCAGCCGTTTGCCTGCTTTGGACCTGGCCAATTTGGGAATGCTTGGATGGCAAGAGGGATTGGAACTCTCGCATATTTGTGGGATGTACATACAGCAGACAGGAAAACTTTTGAATCATTATCTCTCGCACTGACAGGACTGTGGCACTAACAACAACATCTCCAACAACTGCAGCAAGCGATACCTCCAAACTAGATAGATATCATGAAGAACGGTCTACAATTGTCTGAAGGGATGTGGTACAAGCAGGGAGATCAAGGTATGCCGCGATACATTTGGAGAAAGGAAACGTATTCAGAAGCGGTTGACATACCTTTTTCATGCTATGAAGTCCAAGGTCAAGCTTATTCATATGGAGAACCGCTGCGGTGTTTGCAAGAAGAGATCCCGGTGCCCCCAATGGAACAAATGCAGCCAGTGTGTGTGCTAGAACATAACAATAGTTACAGACCATTTTGTCTGCAGACACGGTGTTCACATCTGCCGGTGGATCCCAGAGACTGGGCATGGCAGCATTCCCGGGACCCGGACAAATTGGTCTTCTTACAAGAATACACAACGAAATCAGGATATCAGATGGTGAGACCGCAGGTGGATGTAAACTGGATAGTGGCACGACGGTGGATGATGACTGGTTGGATCGCTGATTCATTGCCTAGACTAGCACAGGCGCTACCAAACTTGTGGAAGCAACTTTTGGATATGACAAACAAGAAGCATGCCAGTCTGTTGTGGTTACTGACACATCTGGCCTTGTCAGTAGCCAATTGGTGCTCACGAAGGATAGTCAAGGCTACGTCATTATGCTCAATCTGCCCGGGGGTACGAGTGGAGGATGTTCATTATTTTCTGCTGCTATGCGACAATGCCAAGCCGTTCTGGGATTGGTGGAGATATTCCCCAGTCCCGATCCCAGACGTGAGGACAAGATGGGACGACAAGTTTGCATTACTGGGTATAGCTGCCAGACGAACTTGTCCGTCGCTTGGCTACACTCATGCGGAAGAAACGATTCGGGCGGTCATCCTTTGGACTTTCTGGAATTTTCGAAATATGGCAGTTCGTAACGGGGAGAAGACAACTCCCCCCATGATCAGAGCAGAAGCGAAATATAATATCAAATTGGCTATCTTTGCAGACTGGGAACACCGGGTGCAAAACAAAGAGTGTACGGCTAAAGCTGTGAAATGGTTTCGAATGAAATGGGGAACTTTCAACGGGCTGTGTACAGTGAGTATGCAAGGAGGAAATATTCCGGTCTTAGTTTACTCAGAATTTTTCTTATGATTGTTTTTGGAGACTACAGAAACTAGGGAGTCACTGTTTAGCATTGTACTCGCTTTGTAATGGCTTGTTTTTGTTTTGTGGCAGCACTGTAGTTCTGCACAATGAGGTAAATTTAGTAAGACTTGCATTAGATTTATAACAGATTAGAGTTGATTAGAAGTTATCTCCGACTTCATCTTTAGTACATTTTTGGGTTTT